TTTTAAAACATCTGTCAGGCTGGTACCATTTAGAGGATGATTGGAGATACCTGCTGAAAGAGTCATCCTATCTCTTGCTCTGCTCCACCGCTTGGCTTCCAGGCTGCCTCTCCACCTCATCAGGCTCCACCTGTGTGTGCACCTGCTCATTAGCCTCCTGAATTTTCTCTGGTGCAACATCAACTGCAGTGTGCGATCCCTCCTCAGGCACAGGTGGAGAAGTAGAGGAGTCGATGCTGTCGCTCACAGTGGTACTCTTCCCTTTGGTTGTCTCATCTTGTCCAATGGAGCTGGTCTCACTAAAGGAGTCGGAGCCTGTCCCTGAGCGCCGGAACAACCTCTGGCCTGTAATTAAACAATGACAAGAAGCGCACAGGCTAAGTGTGATTTCAGTCCCCTTACTTAGAATTAGGTGTGTGTGGGGGCACACTGGGGCAACTCGAAGGTGCAGTAGCAAGCAATGAACATATTCATCTTTCCATCCACATCCATCCAGCAGATCTCGGTTCTTCAGGATGATTTGTTTCAGATTTGGAGTAGTGCATACTATAAAAAGTTGAATGCTGCTTCTCAGAGTTTAGTTTTGATTTAGGGGGCATAAAATAGACCCATCCCAGATCATCTGAGCAGCAGATCAGAAATAAACTATTCCCTAAACCTTTCAGTGCTTTATAAACCAACAACAGAATTTTAGACTGTTCTATTGATGAGGTTTGGGATGTAGAAGTGGATTATGATTAATATATACTGTGAACTACTGGTGGACAGTAAGTCCACAGTGTGCCGTTATGTGTGATCTAGCTCTTATTTGCATACCAACTGATAGTTGAGAATATACAGTACCTGGAAGTCTCTTCAGTGAGGAGGTTGGAGTCTCTTGCAAGGACAGCCTGTCTGTCTGGGCCTTTGTGGAGTATATCTCCTCTGTGGAGTCCACAGAACCTAGGGCCACACACGGTTTACATGCACTGATGAAAATGTACCTACTTTGATATATATAATACAGCACACACAGTGCAATATGTATGTACAGTATTTAGCAATATACATCAAACTTCAATGACAGTGGAAATTTCTGTAGATTTACTATGCTTTAACAGTTGGTCTCTTTTACACCATATGTTTGATGAGTTTAGAACTTGTCCATAAAAACATGGCATATGTGTGTATATAATGTATGTCGCATATGTATTGTGGAATATGTTTGTTTAAGCTTACAATGAGGAAATCTGAATTTAGTCTGCTTGAGTTTTAAGCATGCCAACTAACTACCTGAGAAATATCCAGTAAAATGGAAATAACTATAATCCAAATATGCAGTCCATGGTGTGTGAACAAAATGAAAGCTCAACTTATTATTTACTACGGTTTTCTGGACTACCAAAATTAAAATGCAGATTAAATTGACAATGATTTTAAGATGAGTTGCCAAATAACCAATCAGTGCATGTCACATTCAACTAAACTATTAGAATAATACCACAGAGAGCTAGTGCAGTAGGTGATTTCACAACTCATGGAGGCCATCTCCAAATCTGACAAGTGGGCAGTTAGATTAGCAACCATTCCACTGCAGGGCTCTTCCTCTATACTGCCCTTAGTTTTCTTTATTTTTCTTCTGTTTTCCAGCACTGCTGAGCAGATAAAATGCTTTATCTAACCAGAATGGTCATATCATATGTAAACAGACCTGACACAAACGCTGCTCCCATAATCAACTATCTCACCCAACAATGTGACTGGGGCCTGACTTCAGACAAGATGGCAGATTGCAACCAAGGTTTGCACACCGTCAACCTCGTATGGAAATTGTCAACTTTTCCAGAAGGTGGGCTACACTTTGGGTTAACATTAACCCTAACTTCTAATCCTAACACCCTACCATAAACCTAACTGTGAACCTGCCAAGGGGAACAACTTCTGGCTAATATTGCAACTTCCTGTCAAAGTCAGCAGGGTTACAGGCACACGTTCCCCGTGTCCCATGCCTCTCTCACTCACTCACTCACTGTTGGCCCTACATGTACATAAGCTAAGACAATTTTAGTGAATGGTATGTGGTGAGGACATCCGCATTTTTCTGAACAGATTTAGAATGGCTGAAAACACAGAAAGGAGTATGGAAATTAAGTGTTTTAATACTAACTGATGCTAGATTTTGCAACCACACAATGCATGCTGGCCTGTGGGATTTGCATCTACAAACTCAATTTTCCAGAAAAGTTGGGACATTTTCCAAAATGCAATGACAAATTATAATTTGTGATTTGTTCATTCATTTAAAACTTTAACTGACAAAAGCACAAAAATGTTTTTAATGTTTTCACTGACCAACTCAATTGCTTTTTGCAAATATAAACAAATTTAGAATTTGATAACTGCAACACACTCAAAAAAGTTGGTACAGAGGTGTGTTTACCTCTGTGTCTACAAAGCCACGCTTGTTGTAGCATGTGCAGAATGATGCCTGAGATTGTCCTGCCAAAATATCCACAGACTTCCCGGGAAAAGACAGTGTGTCTGAATGACAGAGTATGTCTCTCTAAAATCCCAATATACACCTCTGTGTTGAAGGTACCTTCACACATATTCAAGTCCCTGAAAAAGAGAGGTGGCCTCTCAGTGGATCATGGGAAGATTTGTTTTTATGGGGAAACTGAGTTACTCTTTGGTGGAGGTTTGCAGTCTCTGAGTACTTTCTAGTTACAAAATGCAATTAAGTTGGCCTGTGCACTTTGGTCAGTTAAATAAAGGTTCAAGCAAATTATCAAATCAGAGATTTTAGTTTTTACTGCACTTTGAACAATGATAAATCCAATTTCCATAAAAGTTGAGGCATTTTCCAATCAGTCCCTCCGAATCTCCAAGGATGTAAGTCACACAAGTCCACAGCAGTTTGTAGTATTGGAGCATCACTTAATGTAGCAACAGGGATTCTCTTGGTGTTAAAGCATTGCTGAAAAACACCAACATTGCTTAAAGATCATTGACTGGCCTCCACTCTTCAGCACTGCTGGACTCTATATGGTACGTTATGTCAGTGTTCTCTTGTGATGTAACACCGTGTTCTTTAAAGGCTGAAAAGAGAATTTTAAAGCAACACCAGGGATTTAATACTTTAACAGGAGTGGGTGCTGATGCTGAACCAAAATCTCCTCACTCATAATTTTGGGACTTTCCAAAAAAAAGGCAACGACAAAGCATGTATGTTAACTAAAGTTTGTAAAACAATACTAATAACAATGTGATGCTGGATTTTCTATTCTGGACTATCATAAATCCCTCTTGGTTCTGTTGTGTTTAGCACTGGGTTGAAAAGTTACATCTAATAAGACATTAAAGTGACTTCAAAGTGTCACCTCTATTGTCCCACTAGACTACAGTCTCATCATACAGTGACACACGGTACCTGCAGACAGGCTAAAAGTCCTTCCTTTTATGGAGCCTTGAACTGGAGAGAACCAGTTTAACATAGAGCCAACCAGAGGAAGCTGTCTCAGCATACCCTATAACACACAGACACACCAGAAGTTAAACATTTATATGGATTGGATATGTATATTCACATATACACTTACACACACATGCATCAACAATTACAATTAATGAAGCAAGAGACAAACAAACCCATCTTACTATACTGAGGACGAATAATTTACTACATCTGTTCTCCAACTCATCTCACACACACATATTTGTACCTCTCTCTTTGTGAGGGCACTCACTAACCAAATGCATTTCTTAGCTCCTTAACCTATCCTGACTTTAAACATCAGAACTAAATGCCTGACCATAACCGTAAACATCAGAACTAAATGCTTGACCATAACCCTTACCCTAACACCTAACCTAAACCAAATTCTAACCTGAACCCTAAAACCAAGTCTTAACCATCAAAAATGTGTTTCACAAAGTGAGGACCAGCCAAAATGTCCTCACTTTCCATAAATGTCCTCACTCTGTAGCAAAAATACTTTTTTGGTACTTACTATGTAGCAAGTACAAGAACACACACAATTGTGTTTTTCTATAAGTGTGAACAAGCCATAAATTTCATAATTTGAATGGCAAGGCCATTTTGCCTTCAATTTCATACATTTTGCAGGTAACAAAGGCCACTTGAACTGGCACTAAGGCCGACAGACAAATAACATGTATGTATGGGTATGCAGCTTATGTACACAGCCTGAGCAGTAAAGTAACAAACTATGGTTTGTGGGAAGTGGTCACAATATAAATACAACACAAATTAAAGTGCACCTGCTTGAGGAACTGTTTCAAGGAAATATGCAGAGATATTTCATGCACAGCATTGGCAACAGTAGCAGATGTGCACCTTTATCATAATTTGGATAGTACATAACATTATCTGTGCAAGTTTAGAAGGTAAGGCATACCGAGTTCTTAACACCTGATCCAGCTGTCAGTTTTCTGATGTTGCTGAAAGAGCCCATGGGATGTTTTTCTTTGTTTTCTGACTTATCTACAATGTTACAAGGGTGAATGATCATCTTAGATGTGACCTAAAACTAAAAGAAATAGGTGTATATATGTTCCTGTAATTCTATGCAGAAGCAACTCAGTTTATATAAGTCTCAAGACTTTTTTGTCCTAACAAGATTAAGTAAGGATTTTCTTGAGTGGTCATAATCTCCAGGCAGCTGCATGTTCATGTGAGCTTGCCTGACATTCACCGGTGCCATGGTAAAAATGGAATTTTTCAACTGCGCGTGGTTTTGTCGATACATTTTACCTCCTGCTGCCTGCATTGGGACCAGACCACATTTTCCTGGATTAGCAAATGAAGTAATTTAGATAATTCTTGCTTGGCTTTGGTCCAGTCTATCCCAGACATAACACTGCAGTCTATGTAGCATTTTAGTAAGAAGTTTTCAAATTTACACCATCAACACAACTAGAAAAGTGGGGAGTTTGTTCAACTATCAAAGCATTACATGAAATTTTTCTTGTTTCACATACAGCACATACCTTACAACGTTATCTGTGTCAAGTAGCAACATGGAACACAATGCAATAGAGGCTGGAACATTAGTACTGTATTAATATTATTGTGAAAAAACAGTTCTCTGTACAATTTTCACCACCATTTTCTGGTTCCATCTTCTTTACAGTGAGTAATTTGCACTTTTCTCTGTCAGACATAATAATAATAATAAACTGCATATCTTTGGAATTGTTGGTTGGACAAAACAGTCCATTTTAAAACACCATCTTTGACTCTCAAAAATTAAAATGGGCATTTTTGGGGTCATTCTATATATAAAGCTAAGAATCAAATAATCAAGAAAAGAAATCTGCAAATTCATCATTGACCACTACATTTCTTTTTATTTCCATTCAGGATTTTCCTTTAATTCTTCTCCCATCTGTACATTCCCTAGACACTTAACTATAACAATCACAAATTAAATGTCTACCCTCTAACCTTACCTTAACCAGAAACTGCAAGGTTTAAATTTCAGACTCCAATCATCCTTCTTAATACTGGGGCTGTGTGTGATGCCTCTTGGCTAAATCTAACACGTTTGCTGAATGTTGATTAATGTGTGTCTGTGATAAAATAAAGGAAAGAAAAGAAAAAAGGACCCTAACACTAAACCTAATTCTACCCATAACTGTAAAACAAAGTCTTGATCTTCAAAAAGCCCTTTCATAATGCAAAGACTGGCCAAAAAGTCCTCACAGCACCAAGATGTTCTCACAATGAAGGCATCAATGTGTCCACACAATGTATACACACACACACACACACACACACACCTCTACAACTTGGTTCTCCTCATTGGCCTTTTGCAGCTGTAGCTCTGCCTCCAGGATGCCTTTTCTCACCACTTCTGTCATGTTCTCCAGCAGCTACAAAAGAAAGAATTAGCTATTTTGAAATGTCATAAAATGATTGTGTAACAACCAAAGCACAACTGGAAAACAACTTGGAGCATATCTTACAAATATTTTGTTACGTATTATCACTCTATGATCACTAATACCCAATTCATTGTGATAGATTTCCAGTGGTGGTATCTTGAAAGAAGAGTTGCATCATTCATTTTTGATGTAATCAAATCAAACCCGAAGTTGAACGTCAAAAAATGAGCAGGCTGGCCAGTGCCAGAGGAAAACTACCAGCTGGACTGGTTACATCATTATCAGCCGTTTAGGAAGTGGTCACGTCACATGGATGATGCATTTTCATTGCATAATAGCAGCAGCAGGAAGAAAAACAAATGTTTCAACACATTTAATATGAGGACAGTTTGTACCAAACTGGTTGGCAAACTGTAGTTGGCTTTTTGTCATCGTCATCTATCAAATATCTCCGAACTGCTGAAATGTATTGATATTAATGTCAGTATCGGTGAATCCCTAGTAAAAATGCAGTAAGATATGGTGCATGTAGTGTTATTCTAATATACATTTAATTATACCCAAGGGAAAATAATTGAAATGAAAGTTTCTCAAAATATGTTACTCATTTATTCTTGCTTACTTTTTCATTATTTAAATGTGATATAATTACACAATCATCCCAATTACAACTAATTAAAATATAGCTACCAATTTTGTCACTAGGTAAGAAGCTAATGAACTATTGGTTTAATCTCGGAAAATACTTTTTGCAACTGTCTAATGGCCCTCGGGTATCCTATAACATTAGCATAGCACTTACCCTTCCACTCTCCTCTATGTCCCTCCCCAGGGCAGCTATGGTATCCACTAGCTCTGAAACATCAACGTCCTCATTCACCATCCCCACAAAGATATAGTGTTCCTCTGTCCCAGTCTCAGGGCCTGGGAATAGACAGGGAGACATGAAAAGTACAGAGAAACAACAGAAAAGTTTAGTAAAATAAATACTGGAAGTCACATTGTTCACAGGTCTCCCTGACATGTAAAGGTACTAACCACTGGAGAAGATGATGTCAGTGTCAAGGTCTTGCAGTTTCTTCAACAGTTCACTGTTAATTTTCTCCAGCTCCTGCTTCCTTTTGCTCTCACTGATCCCTTCAGGCTGTGGCTCATACCTGAATATCAACATGTCACAGTCCCATGTTTGTATTCTGAACATTGCAGCAGATCTTTTCATGAAAAATCCCAACATTTCTTAGGGGACAGCAAGAATAATAGCTTACAGATGCTTTGGAGCACTGTTAAGTTACTGCTGATGCTAACCAAACCTTTCCTTCTGTTGCTGCTTCACACTGAAAGTCTTCAACTGGCAAGCTACTAGGCACACTTTTATTGTAAAGAAGTTGTATGAAAATACAATGTGCTTATTTCCCAACCGTCAAACAGTGTTGAACCCTTTAGGCAGTTGGCATAAATGAAAATTAAAACTATAAAAAGGACACTGCTGACCTGGGTAGTAGTTGTGTGATAGCTATAACATTTTAAAGCCTGATATAAGGATAATCTTCTTAACAATAGAAAATGTCAGTGTTTATTAAACCAATTTTATTTTCTTTGTGCATACAAGATAATTAACTGAATAAATAGTGATTTACTACACAACTATGAAGCCTAACCAGCCTTACTGGACAACTCCCAGGCCAGGCCAGCTGATCTCCTCTATGTATCTGAGTGAGAGTGAATGCCGGTGGGTCTCCTCTCTGAAGTCCTGTCTGAGGGATAGTGTGGAGCTCATCACTGGCGCCAGCTCTGTCAGCTTCTCTACCAGGTCCTCAATGTCCTGCTGCTGGGTCCCCAGGACTGGGTGGGAAGTAGAAGCCACAGTCATGACTATTTCCTGGTTATATCTGAACTCTTCTTTGCATAATTTCACAATAGTAAAACCACACCCAGGCAGAATATTGTGTTTGTGAGTCAATGTGTTTGTGTGTGTTCACATTACCTGCAGCAGTCAGGAGGGGGCTGAAGCGAACACAGGTACCTTCGTCTTCAAGTTCTACCAAATCTACACCACTGGTGGGAACTAGCTTGGTGAGCTGTTCACACAGCTACAGACAGAGAAATAAAAATAAATAAATAAATAAATAAATAAATAAAACATCAATTGTGGGTTGGTTAACATAGGAGTTAGTGTTGAAAGCATAGGCACAAAACTGTAAGTTACAGTACATAAAGAAGGGACAACCCTTACCCATCTGTTGAAGGCATCGAGGACTTCTTTTTCCCCAGCAGAGGAACCGTCCATTGAACCCTCACTTGATGCTACCAACACAAGAGAAAGGGATATAAAGTATAAATACCACAATATGTTACAATTATTTTGTTTATAATGACATCATCTTGGTACTCTCTCAATAATTATTTATTATTATTATTCAAAAGATCAGTTTTGAAGCTTTTTTTTAGAGCTTTCAATTGTATTTTATGGTCATTTTCAGCAAAAAAAAAACAAAAAAAACTAAAATGTACAGAAAACTTGTTCACATAGCCCTTTAATTCTAACCAACATTTTACAATATCACCTTCAGATCTACAGAGACTGGTCAGCTAGTGGTGCCCAGAGTTCAAACTAAACAAGGTGAAAGCACTTTTAGTCATTATGCTGCCCACAGCTGGAACCAGCTCCCATTAGAAGTTAGATGTGTCCCAACTGGAGCCACTTTTAAAACTAAAGATCGTTCTTTTTGCCAGTGGTTTTAATTAATATACTGCATCTTAACTCCAAATTTTGCATTTTATCTGCTTCTATTTTTGCATTACCCAATGACCAGTTGACTTCATTGTGCTGTTTAGCAGACTGTATAGACACTGATGTTTAAATTTTCAAACCAGTATGTGGGCCTTCCAGTTTAAAATATCTTATTACACAAATCTTTGTATTTAGCCAACATAAAAATAAATAAGATCACCACAGTCATCATATCCTGTACTGCTACAAGTTTGTTATAATTGACAAAGTATTTACTAAAATTGGCTCAATTGTATTTGTTCAGAAAGTAAGAGCCTTACCAGCGCTCATTTCCTGGGAAAACTTGAAAAGCACTACAGGAGAGGTGCTTTCATCCTCCACCTTTTGGACATACAAAGATACCAATCAGACACCTGAGACAGTTATTATTGTCATACATGTGATATGCTTTATGACATGCAAAATCATTAAACGTTGAAAGCGCATGATGTAAACATGTACTAAAGTCTTTGCTCTGTGTCTACACTGACTGAAGCTACTATATGCTGTGTCCAAGGTAATGGTAGCTGTACATCAAATACTTTTTGTTTGAGTTGTCAAACTGCTCTGTATGGAAGTGGTAGTGCCACAAGTCCGTGCCTCTCGGAGGTATGGAGCAGCCCAAAGCAAAGCTCCAGGTTAGAAGCTATGACAAGACAGATGAATTGGTGGCCCCTCAGTGCCTGAGCTGATAATTGATTACAATAGACAGATAATGACATAATATAAACATACTTTCTAGTGTAAACTTATCAATACATAGCACTGACCATTTCAATTACACCACTTCTACTATAGAACATTTCAAAAGCAATTCTATGAACCATGCAACCAGTTTATTGATGAAGGTAGGACCTGGAGATACCCATCTTTTTGAATACATCACCCAGAGTTTCTCAGGTTTTGAGCTATATCATTTAACCACAATCAGATTCGGCAAACAACCGATCTCAGTGCAGTTACATGTGGTACATTTCTTTTTTTTCTGAACCACTAACAGAAGAAGTAAAACTCAAAGTGATGCTAATTATTGATGACATCCAGGTGAGAGGCTAAGGCAAGCATCATGTCTGGATGAGGCTGAAATGAAGCCTAGTGTTTATTGGGTGTCAATGTGAGGGTCATGAATAATTCACAAGTATGTGTGGTGTTGACAGGTTAGAAAACCAGAAAAATACAAGAATATGGGCTCTATTTTCCTGAAATAGGGCACAGAGACATTGTGATCTCCAGATTAGGGGCATATTTACTAAGGTTTTGCAGCTCATTTTCATTGCATGAGCATATCAAACATACCCATGTACAAAAAATAAACTTGTGCCTAAAGAAAATTGCATTCAAACTGTGTCTGAAGCTATGCCAGCCTTGTGCTTATAGGAAATTAGAGCCCAAACTGTTATTTCATTCAGGCCAGGTTTCAAGGCCATTATCAACAACATCTGAAACCACCTTTCCTTTGGTGCAACTGCGCAACAATTTTTGTAACTTCCCAAACCAGACAAATCTGACACACCCACTTTACAAAGTCCTTGGCCAGGTGCGTGGAGCTGTGAAAGCATACAGGCTTTTAACTTTTCTCACAAGTTTTTTTTTTTCTTTTTGTTCATTACAAAACCATGACATACATCCAAGTGTAACATCATGAATGCCTCTGAATAAACTCAAAATGTATATGGCCCGAATTTAAAGTGTGTAGGATTTTTCTAATCTTGCCCCTCTCTATTAGCCCCACTCTATTAGCCTCTATTAGCATGGCATAATAGGAGCAGGTACAAATAGTTTTACCTTTAGACAAAGTCACAGTTTATTTGAAGCATACTGAGACTAGGGCAGCCTCTTCCCTAGGGTTTTCTCTTTTTAATGCTGGACTCGAGACCCATAAATGGAATCAAAAGTACATAACAACAGGGGGAACTCTAGGACCTTAGGGTTAATAACAGGTACAAACAAAACAGAAAACTCAAATCACAGAAGGCTCAAATCATCCACACCAGAACACCAAACATACAACTTATAAGATGGCTTCAAACAAGCAGCAAAAACCAAACAGTGATGTATAAAAATTATGCCAAAATAAAGAAATTATCAGATGAGATGCCTCTACCTGTGCGATGAGAACATCATCTGCCATCAGACAAAGTAAGAGTAGAGCTTATGATAAACTAAGATGAAAACTACAATTAAATTAGACAGCACTTAGAAAGTGCAAACCTCCAACAATGGGCAACTCTGTTTGCCCATAATGCCATAAAAGCAATATTCCCATAATTTGACCCTCATAACATGATTGCTTGACCATGAAAACCTACTGCTGGCATTTCAATTGATGCCTATATCATTTTTCATTTTTAAGTTAAGAAAAATTATAGACATGACAGTTATTCACTCATTGGTTTGGTCATATGCACTTCAGCAACATGGGGGAATCACACACACTTAGCAGCCTTTCCAGAATTCACAATGATAATTAGTCTTTAAAAAAATATTCCCAGATCCAAGTTTTTGTATGAATCAGCACCAAAATCTAATCAATTATTCCATGGGCCATACTCTGCCTCTCCAAAAAAATTTCATCAATATCTGTTCATTACTTTTTGAATTATGCTGTTAAACAAACAAGCAAACGAACAAACACCAGGAAAAACATAACTCCTGCCCTTGGTGGAGGTAAAAAAAACAAAAAATACCCACTGCATTAGGTTTATAATACTCAGAGAGAGAGAATTTTACATCTCAGAAGGGTAACCAAATTTGCAACTATTTTATCTTTGGCCGCAATTGTCACGAGGTAAATATCCAAAACTGTGTCTCTGACTTATGTGTACCCTCAGCCTTGCTTAGCACATTGTCCTTAGAAATCATTTACACTGCCCTCCACATTTGCACAAGCAGGCACAAAATTGTATTGTATAGTTTGCTTTAGTTGTGGAATATGTACATTTTCTTTTTTTTTTTCGCCACACACAGACACTTTTCCAGGGTTCAACATTAACTATGGCCCGTGGCCACAAAAAGTTACTGTGTGGACACCATATGTCCCCCACAGGTTGCTAGCTGTGGCCACCAAGGCCTCTTTTTCTACTAAGAATGCGATCCTGTTTCTCAGACCCCCAGCACCTCACAACACAATTCTAACGTTCCACAAACATCTCGTTTCATACACACCTTTTAGTTCAACATTCTACAAAAACAGCAAATAGTAAGGCTACTTGTCGCTGACTCACTTCCCTTATGTCGGGGCTGCTGAAGTATGGGTTTACTAAACCTAATCACTTCTAACACAATCGCAGCAGAAGGACCAGAAACACAAAACCCTGACTATGAAAAAAGCAAATTCAGGAATGAGTTGAGGCAGGAGTGTAAGTGGCTAGAATATAATACACCTAATGATGTAAATTAATGTACTGTGGTGTACAGAGGATTGACACAGGGACAATGCTAGGAGGGAGGGAAGGAGCATAGGAGAGTGGGTATGAGGCAGAAGGCATGGGGATCTGCAAAAACAAACAAACAAAATAAAAGACTGTGAACCAAGAGACAAGATATATGTATGGTTACAAATGAGCTAAACTTTTCAGTTTAAACGAACAGTCACATTTTCATTCTGTTAATGTCTTTTCATTTCTTGAAGTATCAGTTGTGTTAAGTTGCATTAAATTGCCTTTTCTGCATTGTTTTACAAATGTTTACATTTGGGCCATCAAAAATGTACTTTGGCCACCAAATTTAGGGGCTTGGTGCTTAAAAGTAGTAGCTGTTATCCCTGCTTTTCTAACTTTAATTTTGTATAGTGTGCATAAACTTTTTTGTGTATGTAACAAATAAACATTTGGAAACTAAGTACCTCAACACATGCTGAAAAAATTAGCAATGCTAATTATTAAAGTCAATATGCTGTAAGCATGACAAGACAATATGCTTGGTGAAACAACAGCTTGCTCTCTAATAGGGACAAGACAGTTCTACATCAAGCCACACTTTGGCTTGGCTACAAATATTTCTATGTTTCAACACTAGGTCACTATATCTGAAAAGAATTTTTCAAATAGATTTTTAAGTGACATCAGTCGTCCAGTCACATGTACAGTTATTTAGATTGTAAACAAAAGTAAGTAATTAGATGCAACAGCACTTGACACATTTATTAATTATTCATGACCCTTGTATTTCTTCCAAATGCAGCACAAAATGATAAGTGTGGAGAGGTATTCCCTGAAGTACCTCAAAAAAACATGCCTGCGTGGACCACATCTTAAACAATTAGGAAGAAGTGAACAGTCCATCAACCAATGGAGACCCAAACACTGCTGATATGGGTGAATGAAAATGGTCAGCAGTGATAGCAAGAAAAAAAAGGAAGGGGGGACAGAAAGGATGAAGAAGGAGGCGAGTAAGGAAGAAAGGCAGAGGCTTGGTCCCACCTACAATAGAGAGCATTAGAGAGCCCAGAACGTCTCGCAGTGAAGCCCCGGAGATGGGCGGGATTGGCGGCACCATACCCTGAAACCAAGGCATCCCACACTGACTCTAGCTACAGCTATACACACATACAGAAACATACACTTCATACACAGTGGTACTGAAACTCAAACTGCTGCATCAACACAACGCATGTTGATGACAAAGATGAAACTGAAATTCATCCTTTTACCAATCTACAGTGAATTTGAATACCACTGTTACGATTCTGATTGCGTATCTGATTGTTCACAGCATCTGAGTACAGGATGTTAAAGAGCCCATGGCATGCTTTTCCTTGTTTGTTTTTTTTTTGTTTTTACTTATCTACAATGTTACAATGAATTATAATCTTTGACATGACCTAAACCTCAAAACCTCAAAAAATGTACGTACATATGGTCTAGTATTTTTATGCGGAAGCAACTCAGTTTATACACATCTCGCAAACTTTCACCCTCACTCACTTTTTTCTAACAAAATAGTTTAAGGATCTCCTTGAACTGTCAAAATCTCCAGGCCATTGCGCATTTATATATGAGCTTGCCTGACATCCACTGGTGCTCCCACCATATTGGCAAAATGTTATATTGCCTTATTTGTTATGCATATTTTCAATAAAGTTTATTTAAATTCCATGGTGCCATTGTAAAAGCAGAGTCTCTGGTCACAGTACTTGCACTATAAGTAAAAAATAAAAATAAAAAAACACGTTGCATGTCTGTTAATGTATTAGATCAGAGTGACTGTACAGATAGTGTTTGCCTTTAGTAGATGCTAGTGGACAAGCCTTTAAGCCAAGTTTGTACCCTGAAATAGTTTCAGTATCAACACAGTTCAGATGTTGCCCTAGTCAGAGCCTTGACGAGAGAGCTCTCTGTCTGAAGCACAGCCTACAAATACAAATGGGTCTTGTCTTTAAATATCTGGAGGTCATTACTTCATGTTACAAGTTCTACATGCTATTTATTAATTCATGAAAAGTCCACAATCACTTGTACTGCTGTGAGCCATCTCACCAATCGTTATGCAAATAATAAATTAACCAGTATTCCCATGTCAACATATGTGTTTGAATTTCACGTGTTGAGGGAGTAAATTTCAAGTTTTCACATATGCTCCTGTGTTTAGAAAAGTACTCAGCAGACTCAAATGCCTCTAGTTTCATGGTGGTGTGCTAGTGCTGACAAGGCAGGGCTAATTATTTTATCACTCTACCTGCAACCCAGCTACTGATATCATGAACTTCATCACAATTTAAAAGGAGGTTACCAGTCCAATTCCAATTCACCACCACCAATTCATCATCAGTCGACAACTACTATTTAATTTTGGCTGCTGACAGAAATCTGAAAAGAAACACTTCCCCCATCAGCTGAGAAAAAAAAGAAATCTTTATCTCTCATTTCTTTGAATGACTTACTTAAAGGTGGCACATTTATATTTTTCCCCTCATATGACTTCATCCATCTGTAAAAGTAATGGTTTCGGTGTGCCCACAGCATAAATGTTCTATTATAAACTTATTCCGACATCACAGCACCATTATAGAAGGATTCAAAATGCTCATGTGATATTTGGCATCTGATACACAGAGGGAGCGATATCACTGCTAAAGAACAAGTAGAATAATATTAGAGTGACTGCCACTGTGTGTGCATGCTTTACACAAGCCCTTAAGATAACAAAAGTCACAGGCACTACTGTGCTACTGAAAGGTGAACACCGTACACACCTACAACAGGTTTGACACACCCAGCATTATAGGCCATTACCACCAGTTTAATACCACCATGAGCCTAGAGACCAAAGTCTAATGTCGGCATAAATATGGGCAGTACTTAAACGGACATCAGTTATTTCATATTACATTGTTGCAAATCATTATGCCTAAAATGTTCTTTTTAGAATTAACTGTTCCCTAAAGGTTGTCCTCTTTCAGGAGTATAGTTTATCTGTCACTTATTAATACCATGCAGGACAGCATACAGCAGGCTGAGCTGTGAATGGGTGACTGCAACATGATGTCACGTACATACACAAGGACCTACTTCTCATAAAAGACCGGAAGCCTGAGCAGATAGCCTGTTCACCTTTTATTATGGAAGACATTGCCAGTATGTTATTGTTAATGACAGAACATGAAGCAATCACCTACCGATGTTTTGATATAGGGCAGAGATTTCAGCTTCTGCAGGAGCTGCTGGCTCTAGAGGGTAGAAGGATAAAGGTGAAATGCACAGAATATGGTTTCAAAGCATCATAATCTAAGTACCAAGTTTCATTTCTGAAAACATCTTATTTGTTGACGTTGTTGAGAAATGTACTTGTTGGTTTTCTTTCTGAGAATAAGATGAGAAGACTGATAACATCTCACTTGGGGATGAACTGCATTCAGGACATGGTGAGTCTAGTTCAGCATTAACACTGAAGACAGAGGTAGCCTGGCTCTGTCCAAATTTCAGAACTACACTTATGAACACCACATTATATCGTGCTGGCTCAATTCGTACATTAAGGTGAAGTTTACTGCTGCGCCATGCTTCGATGATGATGGCAAGAATTGCATGCATGTCGGTATCTTTATTAAAACAATTCAGTGCCAAATCAGCCTTGTGCATGAATCATAATAATCAACAGTTTCAACAATAGGCTGATTATACGCATGATTCATGATGATAAAAATACAGAAAAACAGCAATAGCCTA